TAGTCTCAGTTACTCAGCGGCTTGGAATGTAGCCCTGGTGTTCTACATAAGAGGATCCAGAGTGTGGGATAGAAGCTCCTTATTAATGAGCTTCAATTTGCATATCTTTACCTCATCTTGTAAAGGCTGAATCTCAAGTTCAGGTGTCTGCTGCTTTACCCCCCAGCTCGGGGAGAGTGCACACTCGCTACCGTCCTTTGTGGCCACAACTCAGCAAAAACTCTAAGTGCCCTCCAAATACCGGGTGTCCACACAGAGTTCCAGTGCAATCTTTTCTCCCTCTACTGTCACCCCCAGGTGAGTGGCTGTGGCTACTTTAGTGCTCTGTCTGGGCAATTTGTGCTGTGGAGCAGGCTTTGTCTTTATTCTCCAAGGGCTCTGCTCACAGCTAGGACTGCTGCTGTCCTTGAGCTCTCAGCCCGCCACCCTCTGGTGCCTTCACAAATCCTACTAGTGTTTCTGGATATATGGTCCTCCCCTGCTACTTTTCTGTTGCTTTTTTTTCTGATGATTTGTTTTTATTTTAGTTGTAATTCCTGTTTGGTCCTGGGAGATCCTCTGTGTAGTTTCTATTCACTCTGCCTCAATTTTCACATTGTCTATGCCATCTTGTGTGCAGCTGGGTTGCACAGGCCTTTCTAGTGCCCCCATACCCTGAAGGTCCAGTGGGTAACTGGATCACACAGTCCTTTTGGGGACCTGGCATGATGCCTATTTTATGGTCTGGTGGGTTGCATGGGCCTCTCTCGTGCTTCAGCACCCCAAAGGCCCCATGGGTAACTAGATCACGCTGTCCCTGCTGGGTCACACTGTCCTCTCTGGTGCTTCAGCACCCTGGAGGTCCAGCAGGTAACTAGATTGTACAGTCCCTGCTGGGTGGCAGAAGCCTCTCTGGTGCTTCAGCACCCTGCAGGTCCCATGGGTAACTGGATTGCACAGTCCATGCTGGTTCACACAGGCCTCTCTGGGCCCAGGCACACTGTAGTTTTGGAAGGTAGGCAGCTGGATGACACCAGTCCCATCTGGGGCTCTGGCTTCCCACTGCTCTTGTGAGCTGCTGGACTGTACAGGCCTCTGGGGAGCCCCAGGTCCCTCTGCTGGAGGCTGGGGAGTGCTGCTTCCCCATGGGGCTCAACTCCTGAGCAGCTTTTGCTGTAGTTTTTGGGGATCGGTCTTAGCTGCTGGTCTGTGCTTCTCTTGCCTGGAGATGTATTTCTGCTCCCCAGCCTCTGTTGCTGGGGATATATCTCCACTCTGATTGGGCTGCTACTATGGGGGATGGTGCTGGGCTCAGGGTCTGAGTCTTTTGATACTGGCACCTTGGGAGCTCTCTACTTTGCACTGGTCTGTGTTGACACAGAGTGTCCACTGGTCCAATGGTGACAGGTGTGCTGGTGGGGTCAGGTTGCTGGGCCCTATCCACTCCCATTGCCTCCTCCCAGGGAAGACTCAGGATCTTCCAAAATTGTGGCATCTCCGTGTGGTGCAGGGAGAAGTGCCCTGAAGGGCTGCTTATAGATGTGGCTGGCTGCTCTCTCCAGAGCACAGGAACCTTCTGCTTCGGGGCTCTGCACTGCTAGGTTTTGGTCTTCCACCTTCATGTCCACTCACACTCTCTCACACACTCGCTCATTCTCTCACACACTCACCCTCCCTCTGGTCCTGTCTGCTGCCATCCTAGTCTAGACTTTTTTAAACCAGAATTCCAAATAAGTTAAAACATTTGGGATATTACCCAACTTACTTTACCTACATACCCGATCCCAATTAGAAATAGCTTGGTTGTGGAAAGCATACATTGTTCATGCAATATGTTTTTAAATATTTGTATTGATTTTTAGAGAGAGGAAGGGAGATGGAGAGAGAGAGAGAAATAAATATCAATGTGAGAGCCAAACATTGACTGAATACCTCCTTGCATGCCCCCCACCAGGGTCTAAGCCTGCAACCCAGGCATGTGCCCTGACCTATAGTTGAACCAACTTCAGTGCCTGGGACATTGCTCAACCAACTGAGCTACATCGTGTAGAGCTATTTAATTCTTATTTATTGATTTGAGAGAGAGAAAATGGAAGGAGAGGAGAGAGAGAAACATCTGTTTGTTGTTCCACTTCTTTATTCTTTCCTTGGTTGATTCCTGTGTGTGCCCTGACCAGTGATCAAACCTGAAACCTTGGCATATCACAATGACACTCTAACCAATTTAACCACCTGGCCAGGGCCCATGCAATAATTGTTGATGCATGTAATACAAATTTTCAAAAAATGCCTGACTTTGACCTATGTATTTTTTTTTTTTTATCCTCACCCGAGGACATTTTTTGTTCAGATAGAGTGGGAGGGAGAGAGAGGAGGAGAGAGAGAGACAGAAACATCGACGTGAAAGGGACACATTGAGTGGTTGCCACCCGCACAACCAACCAGGGCCGGGGATAAACTGCAACCAAGGTACATGCCCTTAGCAGGAACTGAACCTGGGTCTCTCTGTACCACAGGCCAAGCCAAACTGGCCAGGGTGACCTATGCATTTTTTTTTTATAAACATGTTATGTAGGTAATTATAGTATAGAACATAATGATTCAAAATTGTTTTCACAAAGTTATGTGAGGTTATTTTCAATAATTAATAACCTTGAGATAATTCTATAATCAGAGGCTCCTATAGAATCTTGATTCCAGAACTAAACAAGTAGTTCTATTGTATACAATCGTAAATGTCAGAATTGTGACTTGTACAAATTATCTCCAAAATTGAACAACACAGCTGTAAACACTGCAATTTATGTACAAGTGTTAGATTCAATATCTAAAATGGATTGATTGATCTCTTGATTTGGATGCTAGGGAGAAGGTACCAGGCCCAGGACAGTCTCAGGAGGGAGAGTTGGAACACAAGAGGGAATGACATACATCCAGAGAAAGTTGCTGCTCACTTAGTTCTAACCCCTTTCAAAGGTGGAAGGGGATCAATGTAGGTTAAGCCAATGTTATTGTTGAAAACATGACCCTAAAAATTAAGGGATTTCATTTGTCCTTCTTCATATAAAGTTCAAATTCCTTGGCTGGCATTCAAGATCTTTCACAGAGATGTATTTATCTGTCCAGTGTTCATCTCTCTCTGCTTCCATTTACATAAATATTGATTCAGCCACTCGGGACATCATATTAATATGGATTACCCCATGATCCCTCATCTAGTCATGCATGTGTCCATTCTGTTCTTCTGCATAGAGTGTTCTTCTACTGAGCTCTTCTCCTCATGTTCAAGTCATAAGCATACTCCAAATGCCGCCAGCTTTGTGAGCACATCCTCAATGCCCCAGGGATTGTTACATACTTCACTGAGCCTTTTCTTCTTTATGAAGACACTTTTTACATTGTTTTGTCATTTAACTGATAACACATCGAGGGCTTTGCTTCATGCCTAACTTTAGCCTAGTGTATGTCCTCAGTACATGGTTTCTGAGTGGATGGAAGGATGTTTATTCGGATGGAAACAAGGGAGGAAGTAAGGTTTTGTTTTGTTTTTTGTTTTTTAAAAGCTTGTTATCAGAATAGCCATGTCTACATAGGCATTTTGTTTATTATTATTTTTTATGATGGCAATTTTATATAGTTTTATTTAAGACATCATGTATTCCACTTTACCATATAGTGCTTATAAAGTGCATTATTTTGTTTCCCTGTGCACACAGTGCATATTTAAGTATCAAGAATACCCAGACATCTGATATTGTGATCCCTCCTACTTTGTCCTTCATTTTCAAGATTGCTGTGGCTGTTCAGGGTCTTTTTTTTTTTTTTTTTGGTTCCGTATGAACTTTTGAAGTATTTGTTCTAGTTCTGTGAAATGTGTCATTGGTATTTTGATTGGGATTGCATTGAATCTATAGATTGCTTTGGGTAGTATGGACATTTTAATTATGTTAATTCTTCCAATCCATGAATCAGGTATGTGCTTCCATTTGACCCAGTGATCCCACTTCTAGGAATGCATCCTAAGAAGCCTGAAACACCAATCAGAAAGAACATATGTACCCCTATGTTCATAGCAGCACTATTTACAATAGCTAAAATATGGAAACAGCCCAAGTGTCCATCAGTAGATGAGTGGATAAAAGAGCTGTGGTGCATATACACAATGAAATACTAAGCAGCTCTAAGAAAGAAAGATCTCTTATCCATTGAGATGGCGTGGAAGCACCTGGAGAGTATTATGCTAAGTGAAATAAGCCAATCAGAGAAAGACAAATACCACATGATCTCACTTATTTGTGGAATGTAATGAACAAAATAAGCTGTTGAGTAAAATAGACCCAGAGACATAGAGAAGAGTATGGTTCAGGCTGACAGAACTCAGAGAAGGGGGTGGGAGGGTATGGAAGAGATAAACCAAAGAACTTGTATGCATGTAAATGTAACCAATAGACATAGACAACAATGCTGGGGGTGGGGGGAAAAAGAAGAAACATTTGTAACAAAAATAAATTAATAAAAAATTGGGAAGAAAAAGGACATTTATTATACAACTGCCATGGAATTTACTACAAACTTGGGTCCTTCATTATTTTGTGAACTATGTTAAATCTATGTTCAAGGTTGGCTTAATACACCTCTTCAATGGTGGGCCCAGAGGAGGTACCACCAGAGGGAGAAGCTCCATCACCAGGAAAGCCCCAGGCATTCCTCCTGGAATGCCTTCTGCACTCAGGTATTACATGGGAATGATGGGGTTGCAGACTTTTTCCAATTATTTCTGCTGATATTCAAATTCTTCCTTTTCTGCAGTAAAGTGTTTATCAAGCCAGTTGATTTAATTGTACTTGTCAAGAATCTTTATTACCCCTATCCCCAATTATTTCTCCTCATTGCTGATTTAGCCTTGAACTTTTTCATCTTCAACAGTTGCTTTCATGTTGAATGCATAGGATTCAAGTAAATTCTTGGAAGTCACCTTATACTGCTCTTTCTTATCTCCAGCCTTGTACTTCTCAGATTACTGGACCATGAACTCAATGTCTTCCCTGTTCAGATGACCCTTGTTGTTAGTGAAGGCAATCTTGTTCTCTTTTCCTGTACTCTTATCCACAGTAGAGACACTGTGGATTCCTTTGTTATCATTATCAAACGTGACTTCAATCTTAGGAACACCATGAGGTGCAAGAAGGATGCCCGTGAGTTCAAACTTGCCAAGCAAGTTTGTATCCTTTGTTGTGGCACTTCAACTTCATAAAGCTAAATGAGCAAAACAGGTTGGTTGTCAGAGTAGGCATTGAGTGTCTGTGTCTGCTTGGTAGGAATAGTAGTGTTGAGCTTGATGAGGACAGGCATGACTCCACCAGCAGTATCAATGCCAAGGGAAAGGGTAGTAACATCCAACAGCAGGAAATCTTGACCATTTTCAGATTTGTCTCCAGAGAGGATGGCTGCCTGGATAGCTGCACTATAAGCAACAAGCTCATCAGAATTGATGCTTTTATTCAACTATTTTCCATTGAAAAAGTCCTGTAAGGGTTTCTGAATCTTGAAGATATGGGTAAACCACCAACCAGGACAATATCACAGCTTTGGGACTTTTCAAGCTTGGCATCATGAAAGGCTTTCTCTACATGGTCCAGGGTGCCATGGAAAAGATCAGCAATCAATTCTTTGAATAAGGCATGGGTTATTGATATAGAAAAGTCAATTCCTCCATAGGACAAATCAATCTGAATACTGGCCTGGGTGGTGGAAAAGACAATATGCTTAGTATGTTCACAAGCAGTATGAAGGTTATGGACAGCCCTCTTCTCACTGATGTCCTTCTTATGCTTGTGCTTGAACTCTGCTATGAAATGGTCAACCATTCAGTTTTCAAATTTTCTCCACCATAGTAGGTTTCCCTAGCTGTAGATTTGACCTCAAAGATTCTATCTTCAATTGTGAGTATTGACGCATTGTAAGTGCCACCTCCCAAGTAAGTCAAAGATCAGCATGTTTCTGCCCTGGCCAGTTTGGCTCAGCAGTTAGAGCATTGACCTGTGGTCCAGAGAGACCCAGGTTTGGTTCCCATTAAGGGAATGTACCTCGATTGCAGTTTGTCCCCGGCCCTGGTTGGGTCGTGTGGATGGCAACCACTCGATGTGTCCCTTTCATGTCGATGTTTCTCTCTCTCTCTCCTCCTCTGTCTCCCTCCCAATCTATCTAAACAAAAAACAAAAAAATGTCCTCTGGTGAGGATAAAAAAATAAATAAATAAAATAAAGATCAGCATGTTTCTTTCTTTTTTTTTTATTGATTAATTTTTGTTATAGATGATTCTCCTTTTTTCCCCCACTGATTCCCCCCTCCCCCTCCCCTCCCTGCCCCTTCCCCAGATTGTTGTCCATGTCCACTGTTCATGCATACATACGTATAAGTGCTGTGGTTCATCTCTCCCCCACCTCCCCACTCCTTAGGGGATTGTCAGTCTGTACCCCACTTCCGCGTCTCTGGGACTACCCCATTCCTCAAACTGTTATGTTCATTATATTCCACAAATCAGTGAGATCATATGAAATTTGTCTTTCTCTGTTTGGATTGTTTCACTTAGGATGATACTTTCCAGGTCCCTCCATTCAGTCTCAAAGGATAAGAGATCTTTCTTTCTTACCGCTGCTTTTTGATCCATTCGTCTACTGATGAGCACTTGGGCTGTTTCCAGATCTTAGCGATGGTAAATAGTGCTGCTACAAAGATGGGGGTACATGTATTCTTTCTTATTGGTGTTTTATGCTTCTTAGGGTATATTCCTAGAAGTGGGATCATTGGGTCAAATGGAAGATCTATTTTTAATTTTTTGAGGTAACACCATATTGTTTTCCATAGTGACGGCACCAGTCTGCATTCCCACCAGCAGTGTACTAGAGTCCCCTTTTCTCCACACCCTCGCCAACACTTGTTGTTTGATGATTTGTTGATGGCGGCCATTCTGACAGGTGTGAGGTGATACCTCATTGTTGTTTTGATTTGCATCTCTCTGATGATTAGTGATGATGAGCATTTCTTCATATGTCTCTTAGCCATTTGTATGTCCTGTTTGGAGAGGTGTCTATTTAGTTCCTCTGCCCATTTTTTAATTGGGTTCTTTGTCTTCCTTTTGTGGAGTTGTATGGGCACTCTATGTGTATTGGAAATTAACAACCCCTTATCTGATATATCATTGGCAATTATGCTCTCCCATACAGTGGGTAGCCTTTCTGTTTTGGTGATTGTATCTTTCGCTGTGCAGAAGCTTTTGAGTTTGATGTAGTCCCATGTGTTCATTTTCTCCTTTGTTTCTATTGCCTTAGGTGATGTGTCAGTAAAAATTCTGCTGCGTATGATGTCTGAGATTTTGTTGCCCACAGTCTCCTCTAGGATTTTTATGGATTCATGAATTACATTTAAGTCTTTTATCCATTTTGAGTTTATTTTGGAACTTGGGCTTGCCAGTATTATTCACCATCATGAAAGGTCAATGCTTTATATCAAATTGCACAACAGCATCATCAAATCTATGTCTAATCTAGTGTTTGGCATCAAAATTATGTTGGTGGGATGCATTGCAACCTGATTTTTTGCCATGTCACCAGTTAATTATTTGGTATCAGTAAAGGTGAAATAACTAGGGGTGGTTCAGTTTCCCTGATTTTTGCCAATTATTTCTACTTTTATGTGCTTGAAGACATCCACATAAGAGTAGGTGGTGCCACGATCAATGCCACTGCAGGTACTTTATACATGGTTGCTTGAGTATAGGCACAGCTTGCAAAGACCTAGATCAGAACAGCAGTCCCCTGCCCCATTCAATGATCTGCTTAGGCATTTTAAAAACTGAAGGTGAGAAAAAATATTACTGGAAGCAGGTGAGGAAAAATAATATTAAACATTTATCAATAGGACTTCAGAAGAAATATTTCTGTTAATACAATGTGTTTTGTTGTTGTTGTTGAAAATATGTTCTTGTGATTTTTTAAAATATCCTCACCTGAGGATATTTCTCCATTATATCTTCAGATAGAGTGGGGGAGGGGGAGAGAGAGAGAGAGAGAAAGAGATGAGAGAGACACACCAGCTGGCCACCTCCTGCACAACCCTAACCAGGGAGGCCAGGGAATGAACTGCAACCAAGGTATATGCCTTTGACTGGAATCAAACCCACAACTCTTAGGTCCACAGGCTGACACTCTCACCACTGAGCCAACGTGGCCAGGGCTCTTCCTTTGATTCTTAATAAACAACTACATTAAGAATACAAAAGAGAAACAGAGTGATATCCTTATATCATGCTCTGTGAGCAAGGACTGGAAGGTGATATAAAAAAAAAAATTATCCATTAGAGTAGAGTGTTTAAGTTTTTTAATTTAAAAATTTCAGATGTTGTTATATTATCTAATTGGTCTTTCTTAAGGGATAAGTTCTTTATTTTCCCTGATTCACCTCTGGGCACAGTAATTTGGACAATGGCCATGCTCAAGGTAGTATGATAACACATGCTAATGTTGCAGTGTACATTTTCTTAAACACTCTCTTTCAATAAAAATGGTATTGATAATAACATTTCAAGGGGCGAGAGAGAGAGTCTAGATTTTATGGAACTAGAAGATCACGTTCATTTTAATTTTTAATAATCCAAGTGGAAGATTGGAATAATTAAAAAAAAAAGATAAAGGAAAATGAAGGATGGTAGACAACTGACCTGTCCTGGAATGGAAAATGTGTTCTGCTCAGAGTTTCTAGGAGTAAGCATGGCACTGAAAGGAGTAGACCAGGAATGCATCATCTCCTGATAGAGAAAAACAAAACAATTTTATTTGGGGGCACTTAGAAAATTAAACACCTTCTTGGCACTATGCACAGTAAGCCCTTTGTAAATACTTACTGATTTAATTGGCCTAATTTTTTTTCAGTTACTTAAAGTCATTTGGTCTATTCCCCTGCTCCATATTGGTGCTTGAAACCTATCTGAAATACAAAAGGCCATCTGACATCCACTTGCACATTGCCAGTGACAGGGCACTCATTTCTACTTGAAGCATCCTGTCCCATGTTATAACATTCTGATCAGATTATTTTTCTTGGTTTTGAGCTACACCGGTGTGTCCCAGGAGCTTCTATCTATAGATTATATTTTGGAGCTGCACAGAACACATCCTTTCTTTCGCATGACAGGCCTTCAACTGATGAAAGAGGGCAATTCTTGTTCCCTGGTGTTGTCTTTTCTCCAGGCTGAAACATTCCCAGCTTGTTCATTTATTTGTTGGGAGTGTTCAACTTTTCTTCTGATGCTTCAGTTTTGTATTATGTAACTATCCTAGGTTCTCTCAGGAGAGGCTCCTGATTGTTTGGAGCTCTTCTAATTCATGATTTTGCTTTAGGTGTGATCTGCCAGTTCAGGGGAGGGCATTACTGTCACTGCCATCATTCTGGATACTCTGATACTCATTTCTCTTGACATAGACTAACAGTTAATGATTATATACATGCTGTTGATTTTTCCATTCAAAGATGAGAAAACTGAAGATAATTCTTTGTCATTCATAAAGAAGGTTATTATGTGATTGGTAGCTCTGTTCCACCCAGCCATACACACCCTGTATTTGTGAGTTCAAGTCACAAGGTAGGAAAAGCCCCTCAGGCTCCCTCCCACTGTGTGTTATCAGAAGGGGCCCCTTCTCAGTTCTTTCAAACACTTAGTTTGAAGAGGTGCTGCATGTTAAAATCTTGCTTGAGTCTTAGGACTTGTGGCCAACATGCTTTACTTTAGGCATTAGGATAATTAAATCACATGCTTAACATTCCAGCACCAAAGAGATGACAATGTTTGTGAAGCAGGACAGTGGCAGCATGTGTTAGAGTCATCAAACATTTTGGTATGTAAACCTTAAACATAAATGCATTGTGCTGACAGAAATCCAGGAGAGTTTTGGGGAGGGGTAGAGGGGATGAAAGTTTATGAAAGGCCTTTTTTTTTTTTTTTTTTAATCCTCACCCGAGGATATTTCTCCATTTTTTGTACAGATAGAGTGGGAGGGAGAGAGAGGAAGGGAGAGAGAGAGAGAAACATCAACGTGAAGGGACACATCGAGTGGCTGCCACCCACACAACCAACCAGGGCCAGGGACAAACTGCAACCGAAGTACGTGCCCTTAGCGGGAACCGAACCCGGGTCTCTCCGGACCTCAGGCCGACTCTCCAACCGCTGAGCCAAACTGGCCAGGGCTGAAAGGCCTTTTTAATGAGTCACTTACATAATACTTTTCCTCAGTTTTTATGGGTAACATAATTAGTCACTGCAAAGGTAATAATAAGAACCCTCAGGTAGCACTATAACATGTTGTTTTTTTTCCTTCTATAATTATCTAGTTCAAAAAGAATTATTGATGTATGAAATGCTGTAATACAAGGAGGTACTTCACAGCTTCATGCACAGTAACACCACTGAAGCAGAATTTATAAATATGATTAAGACCAGCACTAACACAGATTGGATTTTACCTAGCATTATTTAAAAGGAGGTGGTAAGTACATTACAAAATATGTACAAAATTTAGAGGAGATGCTTAACCTACTTAAGAGATATATTTCCAAGTATTTTTGAGATATGTATTTGTATGCAGTTGATAATATTCTTGACAAATGTTACTTATGAATTTCATCAAAACAGTCTGAAAGTAACTATATATAAAAATATTTTAAAGCTGAATTCCAATTAATCTATCTCTCAAACATTAAATAAATTATTTTAAATTGTATTTTCTGTTTAAGGCTGGTATTCTACAAAGTTAGTCCTATTGTTTAAAAAATATAGGTTCTACTTAGCCAGTGTCAACCAAAGGATAGTAAGCACCAGCCTGAGATAGAAATGTTGTCTTTTTTCAGCAACTAGGGAGCATACCTTAAGAAATGAGAGGCTTGGTTATATCTCTTTTTACCACTGGCTTTAGAGGTGTGTCCAATTTAATTAAATGGTGTTTTAGACACCTGATGTAGGAACTCACTTCTCAAAGGTGTACCTTCTCTCCCATATCTCCTGTATTTATTCTGTGGCAGGTTTTGATTATCTTGAATTACTGTCAGATTGCACTGACCCGCTGTTCAATTTACATGGAATTGCATACACTTTTGCATTTTCAATTACAATAGACTATCTGCATTTGAAAATATAATATTTCATGAAACAGCAAGCTGATTCCATGGTAGAATGATGCATTTGATTAAGATAGGGAGGATGCGGTTGAAAGGAATATAATTTCCTGAAAACATACCTTCAGTGAAGAATGGTAGAGAAACACTTTCACTTCTCCAAATTAGTTAGAATTGTAAAGTGCAGACAGTTCAAAGCAGATTTCCTATTGTTATGCTTTTTATTCACACTTGAAGGATATTAATCTATTTTTATGTTCTTTCTATTCCCAAGATAAGAACACCCATGCACCCTTATCCAGCTATCCTAATTCTTTATCTGTCCATCAGGTAGGGATGAGCACCTGCTCTAAAGTGTTGCCATGGCTTTTACAGTAGCCTCCAGTGATGAGCACCTGTACTCAACATTAAGCATCACTTCTCCATTAACAACAGCAACTAGACACACATGTGTGCATGCACAGGACTGGTCTGAAACTCCATCTCTGAGCTGCTTTGACATGACAGAGACAAAACAGGAATTAATACCCCTACTGGACAGTCAAGGTTTTGCAGGCTGCAAGACATGGGGCCACTTGCACACAGTCTCACATTATTTATAAGTGAACGCTGGTGAACAGTTCAAAAGTGCATTCCCTTTCCACTACACTAGATGTGTCTTCCTTTTGTAAGGTTGACTAACATGATTAATTGAGAAAGGACTAAGTAAGTATTGATGTTTTATTTTTCAGTATTTGGCAGACAATAGGTTCACAAGCAATAGAGCATTCTACGTAATTTCTAATAATGGGGCAGACACTTACATTAATGTGATCTGAAGATTCCATAGTAAACGCAGAAAAACCAGAAAGGGTCCATTTTTGACCAGTGATTCCGCTCTGCCCCAAACTGTAATATGCATGTTACAGCTCATGGCTAGGACTCTGTCAAATCCCAAACAATCTGTGGGTAGCCATGCTTTGCATGACTTAGAAACAGAAGCTGGGTTCCCCACACACTGAGTGACAAAATACAGTCTGAATTCCACACTCTGCTAATCTCAAATGCATCCCATCCTTACATAACACAGAGCTATCTAAATGGCTTTTTCTAATTAATTAATTAATTAATTAATTAATTAATTTTTGTTACAGATGTTTCTACTTTTCCCCCCACTGATTCCCCTTCCCCTCCCTCCCTGCCCTGTCTCCAGCTTTATTGTCTATGACCATTGTTCATGCATACATGTATATAAGTTCTGTGGTTTATGTCTCCCCCACCACCCCCCTTCTTGAGATTTTTAGTCTGTACCCCGCTTCCACGTCCCTAGGACTACTCCATTCCTCAGACTGTTATGTTCATTATAATCCACAAATAAATGAGATCATATGATACTTGCCTTTCTCTGTTTGGCTTGTTTCGCTTAGGATAAAACTTTCCAGGTCCTTCCATGTACTCTCAAAGGATAAGAGATCTTTCTTTCTTAGAGCTACAGAGTACTCCATTGTGTATATGTACCATTGCTTTGCTATCCATTCATCTACTGATGGAAACTTGGGCTATTTCCAGATCTTTGCTATTATAAATAGTGTTGCTACAAACATGGGGGTACATATATTCTTTCTGAAGGGTGTTTGAGGCTTCTTAGGGTATATTCCTAGAAATGGAATCACTGGGTCAAATGGAAGTTCAATTTTTAATTTTTTGAGGTAACACCATATTGATTTCCATAGTGGCTGCACCGATCTGCATTCCCACCAGCAGTGTACTAGAGTCTCCTTTTCTCCACACCCTCACCAACACTTGTTGTTTGAAGATTCGTTGATGGCGGCCATTCCGATAGATGTGAGGAGATACCTCATTGTTGTTTTAATTTGCATCTCTCTGATGACAAGTGATGTTGAGTATTTCTTCATGTCTCTTAGCCATTTGTATGTCCTGTTTGGAGAGGTGTCTATTTAGTTCCTCTGCCCATTTTTTAATTGGGTTCTTTGTCTTCCTTTTGTGGAGTTGTATGAGCACTCTATATATATTGGAAATTAACCCCTTATCTGATATATCATTGGCAATTATACTTTCCCATACAGTGGGTAGCCTTTCTGTTTGATGATTGTATCTTTCACTGTGCAGAAGCTTTTGAGTTTGATGTAGTCCCAGGTGTTCATTTTCTCCTTTGTTTCTATTGACTTAGGTGATGTATCAGTAAAAATTCTGCTGTGTATGATGTCTGAAATATTGTTGCCTACAGCTTCTTTTGCTATTTTAATGGATTCATAAGTCACATTTAAGTCTTTTATCCATTTTGAGTTTATTATTGTGTATGGTGTATGTTGATGGTTTAGTTTCATTTTTTTGCATGTAGCTGTCCAATTTTCCCAACACCATTTATTAAAGAGGCTGTCCTTACTCCACTGTATGCTCTTGCCACCTTTGTCAAATATTAATTGAGCATATTGCCTTGGGTCCATTTCTGGGTTCTCTATTCTGTTCCACTGGTCTATATGCTTGTTCTTGTGTCAGTACCAGGCTGTTTTGATTACAGTGGCTTTGTAGTATAACCTGAAATCTGGTAATGTGATCCCTCCAACTTTGTTCTTCTTTTTCAAGATTGCTGTGGCTATTCAAGGTCTTTTTTGGTTCCTCATGAACTTTTGAATTATT